GGCAAAGTTAAACTTTTGCACGATGGCACAATACCCCATACGTCAAATCAAACCAAAACGTGGTTGGCAAGACGGAAATGGGACGTCCTGCAACAGCCACTCTATAGTCCAGATTTAGCTTCCTCGGATTTTCGTTTATTCGGACCTTTAAAGAAATTTTTGGCAGGAAAACGCTTTGCGGATCGGAAGGATTTGCAAAACACCGCTCTGAACACCTCCCTTCAAGTAACTTTACAAACAGCAGTACCATAAAATGATGTTCAAACTAGTGTCACGCTGAGATAAATTATTCAACGGCTACGGAGATTATGTCGAGAAATAAACAAAAGTATGTAGTTTTGTTAATTGTATTAAATATTTTCTTGAATTATAACTGTCAGTGTAATTTTGCCCTGTACCTTTATTATCGGATCGCCCTCGTACAACTCTAGAAGATCCCGGTATGCATCACTTTTAATTGTCTTTTCCATAAAGAAGAATGGGCCCCAATTACGGCATCCTGTAAAATACCACACCATGCATTAAATTTGAGGGTATCTAGTTCAGGTTCGACCGAAATGTTTGGGTTTACAGATCCCCATATCCTAACGTTATAGCGATGAAATTTTCTAGACAACTGGAATGTGCACACGTCCAGCTACATTGAAGGTACTGTAAAAAAAACCTGTTAGATTTCTTCATCCTTTTACTGCAAACTGCATTTCATTTCACCTTTTCGTATTTCTGTAATTAATGTTTAAGTTTATAAATATCTTTCTCGATCACCCTGAATTTTACCTAATGATAACATCGAAGAGTACAGCGTTGTACATTTATGGAGATAATTCAAGTGACGTCAAGGTCATATAGTGACGTAATTGCGAAAGTCATTGAAGTTTAACTGCAAGCTAGTTTAACTAGACTTCAATTTTATGCATAATTTGATATTCATGGTTCCTTTAGCAAAGTAGTTTTAAACTTCAAATTGTTATAAACACTAAATCCATGTTTTTAAGGAACTGTCCGCGCCATCTAACATCTAATTGCGGGTTTTCGAAGACAACTTTACTTTTTTATTCCTCAAAAAAATATGCTCTTGATTCCAACATTAAAATAGCAAGGCGAATTTTACGTCCAGCAGCATGTTACTTGAATTAAAACATGCCTATAAAAAAGAATTAAAGATTAGCAACCATAATCATTCAGCTTACCGGATATACTTCCTAATTTATTCCTTATCTTTCAAAAATATAAGAGAAACGAGCAATTAAATATTTGTATAAACAACGAAAACAGTTTGAATTTCATTGTAAGAATGGAAAGAAGTATTCTTGTAATTTGTGCGTAAAAATATTTTCAAAAATTCGTTAAAATTAAGGAAGAAATCAGACTACAATTAAAATGATGTTATTGAAAAGATAATTTTTGAATTTTGAGGTGGTGTAAAAATTATTTTTGTGCTATAATATTATCGAAAGTTATCGCCAAAAAACTCAAAAAATTGCTTAATTTTTAAGTAACTATAATTCTAAATAATATTTCGAAAAAATCGCTCCATAATATACATTCCCATCCTCCAAAGTTTGTGCCAAATTTCGTAGCGGCCCAGTGATCTGCTCTGTAGAGTGCCAACACACATACCTTCTTCTTTATTATTAGTAAAGATAATTAGCAAATAAACGCGTATTTTATTTCATAGCTATACATATATTTCACCTATTTTCCAGTTTTAACATTTCTTTAAAGCAAATATTTACACTTTCTTATTTACAGTTACTTTTACCATAATTATAAATTTTGTCAACTGTTACAAAAAACGACATGTCAGGTTAATCATTCACAGGATCAAGTTTATTCTTTGTGTGTTATATGTGTCCCAGTAGTCTTCATTGGGTAATTTTGTTAAAAAGAGAAAAGTTTTGCTATTTACATTTATAAATCAATCAAAATTTTATTGAAATGACCGATTTTTTCGAAAACAAAGCATACACACTTGTTATCTGTCAAATAAGCTGACGCAACACTGAAAAAACGCAATACAGCAAACTACGGTTGTGACATCGTGTTCTGCAGGAGTGTAGTGGAGGCGGAACGCTGTTCCGACACTGCTTTTTTAAAGAGAAATATATACTAAAAAATTGCGAAAACGTCCTTAAAACACCTCGATTTTTGTCAACCAAGTTAGAGCATTCCGGCACTGCTTATTTTGCGACTACCACTGGTGTTCTCTGAACGAAAACTCAAAATTTGGACCGTAGTTTGCTGCATTGCGTTTTTTTCACATTGTTGCGTCAGCTTATTTGCTTAATAAGTATGCTTACAGCTAACAAGTGTGTATGTTTTGTTTTCGAGAAAACCGAGTCATTTCAATAAAATTTTGATTGATTTATAAATGTAAATAGCAAAACTTTTCCCTTTTTAACAAAGGGAAATACTTCCACTATTCCAATGAGTATTTCTATCCCAAAGTAATTTTTAATGTTCTTTCGGGACATGTGTCCCGTTACGCGCGAATCAATTTCGCATTCTTTTCAGACACGCTTTTCAGTCAAAAGTTTTTGCTTTTGCAAAATGCACGGCTTTTTACTGAATTGTCAAAATCACTGTAATTTTCGGGAGGGATAATTCGGCATTTTCTAGGAGATGTGCGACGAGTCACCGACAAGAAATCAAAAGTAACAACAATCTCTGACAGTTTGATGCAATACACTCGTAGCCACATATTTTCTCAAACAAACGAAAAGTCAGAGCATCCTCCTCACAATGTTATTTAGAACGATTTTCTAAGTTGTTTGGTTCACTAGTTATAGACTTTTAAAGTTTGGGCATTATTTTGTAATCATCCTTATTTTAAAACTATTTTTATTGCCCTAACATGTCTGCTTAAAGAATTTCGAAACACGAATGTTTCCTCCCTGTGGGAAATTTCTGTTTTCAACAGATTTCCAATTGCAACTTTCAGAGCTGGTAAAATTCGCTGCAGACAGTTTCATTCTTTTCTCCGACGGGAGCGACTAGCTTTTTATAGAATTTTACCCCCGAGAGAGAAAAGTCCATTAAAAAAAACACCTCTACACCAAGAAGTCGTGGCGAAGAATTTTCTATGAGGATAGAAATTCGGAAATACACTGAATATTTACTTTTTTACACCCTTAATCGCTTAAGAACATAACCCGAGTTAACTCGTCCTAAATACCGTAGGTTACAAAATAACTCGGTTCTTAAGCGGTTAATTTTTATCGCATTCGCAGCAATAAAACTCGTTTTTATTTATATAATCAGAAAAAAGAGTAAATAAATATACGGTTAATTCTAAATCTTTCTCAATAAAATTTTTAATAACCGTATATTGCTCCTGTAGCATGCAGTTTTTTTATGGCGCAAGCGCGGCAGAGCTTGTTCACCGATCTTAAAAATGAAAACGAACTGACAACTGATGAAAGTTATGAAAGTTATTCCTGACGATGCTTTTAATGAGTCGTAATTTGATAAACCTTTTGTAACTTGATGTGCTGCATTCGTATATATTTATAATGTCGACAAAATATTTGAAATTTTTCAAAAAATGGAGTTCGTAGTACTTTAACCCGGCCCTTCTGCTTTGACTGTCTAAAAACATGGCGGACATGGAACAACAACATCGCTTTTCGCTTCAGATTTGGCCTGTTCGCCAAAATGTTCCTTAATAATTTTAAAAGCTTCATGACATTTGGTACGCAAAGGATGAAATGTGCAATTACTGCAATTCATGATATTGAAAGTTTGCTTTTGAGCCCCGTCTAAGTGCTGTCTCGAATACGAGGATGAGATGCTATGTTCTGTGTTTCCGGATGAGATATTTAAAAAAAAAAAGAACACTGGCTAATATTCCTTATAGGATGCTATTTAGTACCTTGATAGTGGGAGGGCTTGTTGCTTCGGGAACATCCTAATGAGACCTATTTTACAGGAAACGCAAAGCCCGCATTTGTGATGCGTGGCGGACGGTCATTCAGATTCCTAACGCATGGGAATAACCTAGTTTGAAACCTTCGCTTGGTTACTGTTTTAGTTTATCCTCTGTAAAGGATCTGCGTCCTTAAATCAATGATAGTTTATTTTAAAAAAAAGCTTTACACACAGCAGCAATACCAGCCTCTCACTCCGTAAAGCCGGCAATTCACTTGAAGGCTAGCCATGCCATTTGTTCTAAGCTCGTTTTTTCCCACCCATTTTAAGAGAAAACTCCAGGCACGCCATTCACTTGATGCTTCAAAGTGCGATACCACCGCTGTTCGCTCCCCCCTTAACACGTCATTTTCATTTGATCATCAAATCTGCATTATCAATACTATTTTTTTTTATTTTGTTTTGAGACGCCTTGTTACACCCACGCACATTTCTCCTCCTTTCCCCACGGAAGTTTTCCGATTTTACTTTCAACATGATCTACCCTCGAAACGAGGTGCCAATCTAGCCAAATTTTTTGATCCACCGCCTAGCCTCGTTCGAGGTCTCAAATAGGAATCTGCGCTGGAATTTGATTTCGTTGGAATTCCACCTTTCCCGAGCCGCTATGCTATTTTCCATCAGTTTAAAAACTGACTATTGCTTTCTCCTTCCCGTGTTCCAAAATTTCTAGTTTGGAAACGATGTGAATTGCCTGCTTAACCCTATGAGCCCTATCCCGCCTCAAACGGCCTCATTCTACATAAGCCGGAATCAGGCGGTTTCGGGCGCCTGGGTGAATTTGGCGGGAGAAAATTAGTTCCTTTCATTGATGACAATTGATCGCGCAACCGAGAGTGTCGTCCTCCTGCAATTTCTTTCGAGAAAGGGCGGAATTCATTCTGATTTCACGAATGAAAATTTACTCCAGTTTTTGAGGCACTTGAATTCTCACTCTAGCCGGGTTCAAAAATTGTGTCCGCTTCATGGACAATGAATTGTCCATGAAGCGGACAGGTACAGATGAGATTTGAACCTGCGTTATATGGATTCGTAAGCCGGTGTCTTCCCGACCTAGCTATGTGAGTAGGGGCTTCCCATGACAAAAATCGAACACGAGCCGCCATGGGTGAGAGCCATGTATCCTAACCACGAGACCACATGGGAGGCAGCTTGCACCCATGTTAAGGTAAGTTTTCCGCTGCAAGATAATTTTATGGATCTTTCAAATACTTTTTCTTTATAAACGACAAAATTCCATTAACTAATACATATTCTAAGATTATTTTTAGAAGAAATTCAAAAGTCCGGTTATGCATTAATTCCTTCCTGTTAGTAAATAATTAAAATAATTTAGTAAAGAAAATTTCATTTGTATAGAGACATGGCAAAATTGATAGAAATAAAAGTAAAAATCATGTTGAATTTCACAAAATTAAAAACTTTCAACCCCCGAATTTTATAGTATCTATTTTGTTATTCTTTTTTATTATTACTTTTTATTTAGTTATTTATTTCATTTTTAACTCCTGACATTAAAATTCACACTTGTATGTAACAGCAATTCTAAGGAAATTCTCATTATTGGACGGTACTACGAGTAGAATCTAAATGTTTATTTTATATAGTTTTGTGATCTTCTATTTAAAATCATTTAGTTGATTCAACTTTTTATAAAACATTCTCTCTGCGATGTATGTGACCGCTGTGACATGGTAGCAGGCACTGGGTTTCGGAACTGTTGGGTTTCAGGTTTGGAACCTGATTCCAACAAAAATCTGCTGAGTAGTTGTGCTTGGTACATGTTTAATATGACTTTAAGATTGACGCATCATCCTGCTGGAGTGGTGTGGAAGTTTGCAGAGGGGACTTCCTGCTCCGGCGACGTCCTTGCTATCTGACCACAGTTCAGAATTACCAGATCCGTGCAGATTATTGATAATATTTTAATGATGAAGTGTTTTTTTATTTGTTCTACCAACTTATTTCCACTGACACTAAATTAGATTATTCTAAAATGGAAGCATTTATTTTGGTACAGAAAAACATTATGTACGCCATGATTGAAGGCCTCGGTGGCCAAGTGGTAAGGCCGGAGGGTGCCAGGTTCGAAACCCGATTCCACTGAAGATCCGTCGTGTATTAGGCTTTTTGCCCGCTGAATCATACGTAGTGGCCAAACGTCTTCCCGATGGTGTGGTGCGAAAGTTTGGAGAAAGGTTGCCAGCCCAGATGTCGTCCTCGTCAGCTGACCGCGGTTCAAAATTACGAGCTCCGTCCCCAAATAGTCCTCGTGTTGCTTCAAAACGGGACGTCAATCTAACTTAATTAAACTAATCGTATTTAGTAACACAGTCAAACCCCGTTATAACGAACCCTCAACGGACCGACTCAGAAGTTCGTTTTAACCGAGGTTCGCAGTATCCGTATTTGCAAAAAAAAAATGCCCTAACATGCTAAGATACTACTTCTATAATAAACATTTTAATAACATAATATTTTCATTAGTAATTAGGGACAAATAAAGTATTAAATAATTCACTTGCCAACGTTAGCCATGGTCACTGCAAAGTTCACAGAATGGCAATCAATTAAACTAAAATTGCTGAGAAGACACGTGATTGCTCCTAGGTCGTCTGACCAGAAAGTCCCCCCCTCCTTGGTTGACACCAGTCCAGGTGTCCACGGGGGGGGGGAGATAGAAACTGTAAAGAGCCTTGCCTATTGTTCCTTTGTCTCACTTATGGGGTTAGCAGCGACTCTAATAAAGGTACAATAGGCGAGGAATGTGGTCTCTGGACCAGAGTATTTCATGCAAAAGGGGTAACTCTTGTAGAAGTTGGGTTGAATTGAGCACAATTAGTAAAGAATGTCCCTTTGGGCAAGTGAAAAGTTTGAAGTTTTCGAAATTTTCAGTTCGCTATAACCGAGTCTCTAGCGTTTGCTGTTCGTTGTAAACGTATGAAAATACATTATTAACATAGGGCTTCAGTTGGGACCATGTAAAAGGTTCGTAGTAACCGAGGGTTCGTTATATCCCGGGTTCGCTATATCGCGGTTCGACTGTATATTCATGACACATTAACATTCGAAGTAAAAATTGACGGGAGACTGTCTCTTCGAAATGGCCGCTGGGGTTGAGGGGCGTAGACTTACTTACCTTACTCAACTGTGACTAAAGTAGCTCTATGTGACTATTCACTCTATAGTCTATAGTGATTATTAGTTTAGTGTGACTATGTGACTCTATGTAAAATTCTTCGTGATTTTCACCAACTCAGCAACTCGACTGTGACTAAACCGTAATTACAAATTCTAAAATTAATACCCACACTGGCCTGGCCTACTCAAGAAGTGTGTAAGGCCGGCAGATTACCAGCGTGGCGAGAGCCGCCCCACCAGTATGTGGATTTATTAGGTACAATAAGATGATACAGGCATTGCCCGAACAGGGGCAGTACTTTTAAATACAAGAGAACTGGGAGTATAAACACGGTTCGACCCACCTCGGTGGGGAAAGAATAGCTTGATTTGCATGTACTCAACCACCAAGTGTGGCGAATGATATTCACAAAATAAAGAATGTCAAAATGAAGGCTCTTTCTTTTCATATAAAATATAAAAAAATCTCTAACGCAATAAATATGAAAAGTTTGGAGAGGGGGTGCCAGCCCAGGTGTCGTCCTCGTCATCTGACCGCGGTTCAAAATTACGAGCTCCGTCCCCAAATAGTCCTCGTGTTGCTTCAAAACGGGACGTTAATATAACTAAACTAAACTACACCACGATTTCTGAAATGTTTCATAATAACGACAGAATAAACTGTACCAGTGAAAAAACATTAAATGATGAGAAAAGTCGAATTTACGTAACCGAATGTTGATTTCGAGATTTAACTCCTTTATTTGCAGTTACGTAACTGTTTCAAACAAAAATAATTTTGTAACTATTAAGCAAAATGTTTAATTCATTCTAACTGAATAAACAGATCTCGAAATTAGTCCCAGAACGCAAATATTTAAATAAAATAGAGGGAACAAAGGCTAGCCGGAGACTTGTATTTTATACTAGTCGTTATTTTATTTTGGTTATAAAAAGACGAGACCTTATTTTAAGAGCATAAATTACAGGCGTCGTTCGCACGTTTTTAGAACCTTTTTAATAAGCAATCGCTTAGTTTGAAACAGCTTTAAGCTTTTAGTAATTATTTGCAGAGAAAGTACGTAAATAATGGATAGGAAGCTTGTTTCCGTTTTTTCCGAAGAGAAATATGTCCATTTGGTGAAACGCAAGTTTAGGCAGTACGTACGCAGCCGTTCCTCCTCACTTTGGATCGCCAACTTTCTGTCGCCAAGAGCCAGACGGTTTGGCGATGTGAGAACATTTGTTTTGTGTGCGCAGTGAGTTTTTTATTCGTCTCTTGCGCATCTCAAGTGGGTTCCGAGCAAATTTTTTAAACTTAAAAAAGCATCTCCGGCTTCGCTTTCAGCAAAGCGGGAACTTAGTAGCTTCGCTTTTCCATTGAGTGTTAGGAATCTACGTTTTTTTTATTCCAAGGTAAGTTCTCATCTCAAAACGTTCCTTCGTCAAAATGTCAACTGTAGCGAAGAGCACGCCAGTCTAAACAAATCCAAAAATGTCAAAAACAGGATCGATGTGCACGATTTAGTTTTTCTCGAATATCTCGAAAATTCTTCGGTTTTAACACTAGATGTGAATTAACAAATTAAAGAGCGTAAAATTCCCTACAAATACATGCTTTTAATTTTTCTTCCAGTTTTAATATTTTGGCAGATATTGCCTCTAAACAAATTTTTGATTTCCAGTAATTTACGAACCCCAGACCACCGAAACGGCGTGTTACATATCTGAAAAAAACTTTTTTAAATGCGCTCTCATTTAAAAAAACTGTAGTTGAAACATTATTAGTTTTTTTATTATTAATTTTTGAAATGTGTTCGACAATTCTCGGACACAGTGGTATGGGTTAGTGGGATGGATGAGCCAGTTAATCATTCCACACTTTCTCAAATCGAGGAATTAAACTGGACTCGGCTAACTTTTATGACAGCAACTCCCGAAACCTAGCTTTTCACAAATAAGAAATCAGTATCAAATGGAGTTAAAATCTCTCCACTTTGCATCTAGAAGTGGATATTCATCTTTTACTGACAACCAAAACTCTGTTCAAGTCAAGCTGCTAAATTTTGTTATAATTAATTGTCACCAGACAACTCAATCAGATTATCGTCTTCTGCAGCAGTATATGTAGATAGAGCAGTTTCTTTAAACCCTTAACTGTTTAGCTCGAGTTTACTCGTTCATCAAATTATGACATTTTTACACTTATAATCTGAAATTATGTCATTCGTAGACGTTATAATTCGATACAAAAAATAAAGAGTAACTCATTAACATCTCAGAATATAAAGAGTAAAATGCGAATAAAATATGAAATTAACAATTCAAAAAATATTACATTGTTTTAGTAGCGCGCAATATACTGCTACATGCGAAAAAACAAACGTAGACAAAAACATCCAAATGAGCAGAAAGACAACGAAATTCAATTTGAAAAAAAAATCGACGGGAGGCTGTCTCTACGAAACGGCCGCTGGGATTGAGGGGCGTAGACTTACTTACCTTACCCAACTGGGAGTTTCTGTGACTATAGTAGCTAGCTCCATGTGACTATTAACTCTAAAGTCTATAGTGACTATTAGTCTAGTGTGACTATGTGACTCTATCTATGTAAAATTCTACGTGATTTTCACCAACTTTGCAACACGAATGTGACTAAACTGAAATTACAAATTCTAAAATTATTTTTGCAATCTTCAATGTCTACCTTCTTCTGTTTAATAAAAATAAAACCAACTCTCTATGTTATATGGTTGCGGAGCTATATGCGTTTAACTTTAGCAAGAAATTTGACGTAATTCAACAATCCTTGAGTAATATTTCGCGTGATCGATGAATGAATTATCTTAGTGTACGTGCGCCTGCGTCGGTCGCTGTGACGTCATCAAAATGTTTCGTGATTTTCACCAACTTTGCAGCTCGATTGTGATTAAACCGTAATTACAAATTCAAAACTCTTTTTTTCAATTTCCAATGCACACCTTTCTCTATTAAATGAAACTAAAACCAATTTTATATGTCATTTG